AGTAACAACTGTATATTTTCTTTCATAACGTATTTCGTGGGTGGAATGTCCTTAGCGGATACCCTATTAAGTATGCGATGTGGCATGCATTTCCATTAGTTAGTTTACTTATGAACGCGAACACTAAAAGGTTGATTAAAAAAAAAAATGCTAAAGTATTGTGTTACCAGGACATCGTCAAGAAATTTACAACCGACACTTTCATCTCTTGATGTTAATGGAGAAAGTTTAGATTTGTATGGTTCTATGTCCAGTATTGCGTCTAGCTTCGTCACCATGAGGAAGAAAAAGATCGCACCACCACCACCAGGCTCTTTCAACGACTCCGATCATAGTTCCATTACTTCAAGTCCTACCCCAAGTGCGGTATGTATCTGTGGCTAGTATTTAAAAATTAATTTAAAAGTATTATGATCAGACCTTTCTCTAATTGGGGAAATTGTTGATGCAAAATCTTAGCTATACATTTGTAAATAAATTTGTTGTTTACTGGTCCAGCTTCATGGACGGTGACACTGTGATAGTAATTGAAAAGTAGTAAACATACGTACCTCCATTAATAAATTTTTCAAATTTAATTTTCATTCTTGGTTTGTTATATTAGCCCCACTCTCCTCGAATGACGCCCCGCTCTCGTAAAACCAAGAAAGCACCACTTCCCCCAACGGCATCATCCTCAACACCTTTCAGTCATAGTAAAGTTTCAGAGTATTTTGAATCTAACGTTTCTCCATTATCTGAAAAAGATTATCACCTTCCTCCTCCAGAAATACGTATAGGTGATTATGAGACTGAAAAGACAAATAAAGACAAGGAAAATAGAAACCGACAAAGTCAAATATACGATAGTAAGTGTGGTGTTAAATTTTAAATATTAAAAGTTGAAATAAATATTCGTAAATTATATGCAGACATAACTTTTCTAGCTTCCACAAACACGCCAACCATTACGGACAAAAGTACCCATGGGAAATGGAAAAGGCGAAAAGGTCCAGCACCTGCTCGCCCTATACCTCAACGAAGGCAAATTAAGCCTTTACCTGTAGCAGAAATTAGAAGGGAGCTGGATTTCATCGAAATTCAACAGCAAGGACTTGAAAGACAAGGGGTGCGATTGGAACAGATCATTCGAGAAAAATGTGAAGGGCCAAACAGTGATCCCGAAGGTAGCATGTCTCCTGAAGTGGAGGAGTTGATTTTGCAATTGTTTGAATTGGTCAACGAGAAAAACGAGTTGTTTAGAAAGCAAGCTGAATTAATGTATTTGTACGTATTGTTTTTTATTTTGTTATTAAATCAGGCTAGTGTGTATTTGCTATTAATGACGTAATATCTTATTTATTTCAGACGAAGACAACAAAGACTAGAAGAAGAATATGCAGATCTGGAGTACCAGATACGATGCTTAATGTTGAAACCAGAAATGAATCAGACAGACAGTGATAAAGCAAAGAAGGAGGAAGAACTTATCAACAGGTTGTTAGAAGTAGTAGAAAGACGAAATGAAATAGTTGAATGTTTAGAAATGGATCGAATAAGAGAAGCCGAGGAAGATACAAGCATAACAAATCAAATGACTCTGTATACCAGCAAAGTAAAAGACGAAGTTGTACCGTTAAATGTAGAAGACAATAAAAAGCAGTGGAAACAAAAAATTAAGAAAAAACTGAAGCTAAGCAAGTCTCCTAAAGTTGACGCTGATAAAGATATTGATGAGTCAGAATTGAGTTCGAATTCTTTACCATCATCAAAAAAAGAGAAGAAGAAAAAATTTAATTTGTTTTAAAAAGTAATGTACTGTTTTTATTATTATATGAACTCAGCCATATCATTGTTAATATATAATATCATCTGTGTGATTTTCTTGTACTTTATGGAATATAATAACATTTTGTTTTTTATTAGTTGTATCTTTCTTTTTTTCTCATTATCAATAAGTAATCAAAAATTGGAAGTATTCCCTGAAGCAAAAATGTCTCTCTCATGTAGTTTTGGACAAAGTCTATAACAGCAAAAATTTTCAGCAAAAGTTAAATTTAATTCTTATACATAAAAAACGCAATTCGAGCAATAAATTTCTATTATTTTGCAAAAATAGAGTTAACGAGAGCGTATTTAGGTCATGTATTGAATAATCTTTGATATTAGATGTGATGTACTGATGAATTACGCAAAAATTTTCAACAAAAGTTCGATTTAGGTTCATATACGTGGGTGGATTTTAACAGAAAAAACGTAAAAAACACCATAAATAGTCATTTGTTGGCAAAAATAAAACAAGCGGGAGCTCTTTATATCATTTGTTGGTTAATCTATATCATCAATTATCATTTATCTATGAATTAAGCAAAAAAAATTGCAGAAAAGTTTTAGTTGGTAGGGACTCCTCGGGGGAAGATGTTCACCAATATTCTTACTACATTGTAAGCCTCACGGCTTATAAACTGTATTTTTTAAGACGTGCAACCTCAAACAACAATATCTAAATAAACAACAGCCAAAATCGACCCATTTATACGAAAAATCAACACGGTAAATTAATTTTGAGATTTTTCTATTAAAACTTTTCGATTATCCCTTATATTACACTTAGAGAATTATAGTATGTCCTTCGTATCTCAGGTACCTGGACGGACATCTCACGGTCCATAGTTAAATATTATTACATCTAGTTTACAGGTTTCAACTATATTACAGATGTCTATCAGACAGCTACTAAACGGCAATAATAATAACACTAAAATTTGCCCGCCAAATTTTCTGATTTCCCAAGCATCTTATGCTCTCCTAATACAAATTTCCGATTTTCAATGTTTCGCTAGAATTTGATTTTGTATCGTGTCTGGCACCTTCACCAAAATTTAGCTACCTTTGAATTGTTTTTGACAATAAACGTGTAAATATCGCTTCTTCATTAAAAAAACGATCTAAAGGCACACTCATTTGCTTTATTTTACCAGATTTTAATTCCTAACATGGGTAGATCCTGACAAAAAAAACGCAATTCGGGCAATAAATTTCTGTTATTTGGCAAAACTAAAGTAAACGAGAGCCTATTTAGATCATTTATTGCGTAATCTTTAATATTAGATGTGATTTATTGATGAATTAAGCAATAATTTTCAACAAAAGTTCGATTTAGGTTAATATACGTTGGTGGATTTTAACAGAAAAAAAGTAAAAAACACTATAAATACCCATTTATACGGAAAATTAACACGGTAAATTAATTTTGAGGTTTTTCTATTAAAACTTTTCGATTATCCCTTATGTGTAGACTATTTAGATAACCATATACGTGGTTTTGAATATCTTTTAATACTTGTAAAAATAGATTTATATTAGGATGTTCTTGATAAAATGATTTGTTGAACCTTGAATGAAACGATTTGCAGTCGTTTGTGATCAATTTATTTGAGGCTGAATTAGTAGCTCACAATTTTGGTGGAAATTTAGAATCATCTAGTATATAATTTTCTAACAAATAATCGGAAAATTCATCAACCTTTTGATTGATGTTTTTGCATTTAAAAAGGAATAAATGTTATCATTCGTTCCAGGAAGTGGTGGTAACACTGAACGTTTTGCGTAGTATATTATGCGCTTTCGGATGTTATAATATCAGTTGTTAAGTTTTTCGAAGCAATTAATTTAAGACCACTACAAATTTTAGCTTTTCCGTAATGTCGTATACGGCTTTTCTTTTTCATCCGTTCGAAATCGCTTGTTGACAAATATTTCTGTCCACTTCATGGTTGTGATTACTATTTTCTCTTAAAACACTAGTTTTTCGTTCGTCACAAATCAAAGATGCACTACACTCTTTTTTTATGCACCGGTATCTTAGACCTAAAGATATCTTTTTAAATAGAATTAATTCTTTTCCTCTTTTAGTTAAAATANTCTTATCATTTATTAATTAATTATCTATATCAGATAACATTTACTGGTGAATTAGCAAAAATTTTGTCCTAATGTTCGATTTTAGTTCCCAAAAATAACCCATGTATAGACCTGTCGATTGTTTTTGGGAACTGAAATCGAACTTCTGCCAATTAATTTTGCTGAATTCATCGATAAATGATAACTGATCATACAGATTAACCAATAATTGATATAAAGAGCTGCCGCTTGCTTTATTTTTGCCAAAAAACGATTATTTATGGTATTTTTTACGTTTTTTCGGTTAAAATCCACCCATGTATATGAACTAAAATCGAACTTTTGCAGAGCAGTTTTGCTTAATTTATCAATAAATCACATCTAATATTAAAGATTACGCAATAAATGATCTAAATAGGCTCTCGTTTACTTTATTTTTGCCAAATAACAGAAATTTATTGCCCGAATTGCGTTTTTTTTTGTCAGGATCTACCCATGTTAGGAATTAAAATTTGGTAAAATAAAGCAAATGAGTGTGCCTTTAGATCGTTTTTTTTAATGAAGAAGCGACATTTACACATTTATTGTTAAAAACAATTCAAAGGTAGCTAAATTTTGGTGAAGGTGCCAGACACGATACAAAATCAAATTCTAGCGAAACTTTGAAAATCGGAAATTTGTATTAGGAGAACATAAGATGCTTGGGAAATCAGACAATTTGGCGGACAAATTTTAGTGTTATTATTATTGCCGTTTAGTAGCTGTCTGATAGACATCTGTAATATAGTTGAAACCTGTAAACCACTTGCAATAATATTTAACTATGGCCCGTGAGATGTCCGTCCAGGTACCTGAGATACGAAGGACATACTATAATTCTTTAAGTGTAATATAAGGGATAATCGAAAAGTTTTAATAGAAAAATCTCAAAATTAATTTACCGTGTTGATTTTTCGTATAAATGGGTCGATTTTGGCTGTTGTTTTTTGAGGTTGCACGTCTTAATAAATACACTTTATAAGCCGTGAGACTTACAATGTAGTAAGGATATTGGTGAACATCTACCTCCCGAGGANAGTGTAATATAAGGGATAATCGAAAAGTTTTAATAGAAAAATCTCAAAATTAATTTACCGTGTTGATTTTCCGTATAAATGGGTATTTATAGTGTTTTTTACTTTTTTCTGTTAAAATCCACCCACCTATATTAACCTAAATCGAACTTTTGTTGAAAATTTTTACTTAATTCTTCAATAAATCACATCTAATATCAAATATTAATCAATAAATGATCTTAATGCGCTCTCGTTTGCTTTATTTTTGTCAAATTATCAAATTCTAACTTTGGCAGAATAGTTTTGCTTAATTCTTCAATAAATCACATCCAATATCAAATATTAATCAATAAATGATCTAAATGCGCTCTCGTTTGCTTTATTTTTGCCAAATTATCAAATTTTACTGAATTTTTTGCATTTTTTTTTGTTAAAATCGACCCATGTATAGCTGGTGTAAAGTAAGCCACAGCTAGTTCTTATCATTTATTGATTAATCATCCAATTCAGTTATCATTTACTAATGAATTAAGCAAATCATTTCAGTAAAAGTTAAATTTTTGTTGCCATACGTGGGTAGATTTCGCCGGAAGAAACACAATGAAATTTAATAATTTGTCAAAAATAAGGTAAACAAGAGCGCAATTCGATAGTTGTTTGATAAATGAACAGAATAAGCTTGGAAAGNAAAAAAATTGTGTTCCTTTAAAACCCTTAAAATAATAGTTTATTTGTTAATGTTAATATATTTAGGTATCCATATGTTTTTCTGTAAATCTCTGTTTAAGCACTGAAGTTGCATTCTGGATCAGATAATATTTTAATTTTGGACGATTGTTTAAAAAATAAATCCAGATGCAACTACTAAATAAAGAAAGTTTCATTAGCAGTGCAGCGTTTTTAGATTAATTAATAGTATTACTATTAGAATAGCAGTAACTTTCCTAGAAATACAAGAATTTTCAAAATCACTCTAGTACATTTGGCACTGCCTAAGATATGCATTTGCATAAGTACCTACGTATAATAATCCAAGACCCCAGAGCCGCCAGATATTATTTATTTTCTATGTAACAAAATGAGTGGAATAGAGTAGTGTTAGTCTGAGTGCTGATTTTTACATAATGTTTCACAGAATATTGTTAAAAATAAACACTGTCAGACATTTCCCATAGGCGGTAATTTCTGCCAAACGCTTCAAAGCTGGCAAAAAAAAGCGTAATTTTATTTAATGTCTGAGTCTTCATTTTTAAATATGATACTTAGGGACCTATCTTAATACTTTTTGTAAGCAGCCAGACCAATTATAGGGCCCAAATATCCATCAGACAGATCTTAAATGCCGGTGTGTTATTGTTATAAAACTATCTAATTGTTGACGATTTCGTCATGACTTCACAGCGTCTGCAGATTGTCGAATATCTAAAAAATTCAAACCAATATCCAAGATATTAAAATTAAGTAGTATACAGTCTGCTTTTCAATTCATAGTAAATAAAGTTTGTTCCCAGTATTATTTATATCGGAGTTTTATTCACTTCGGCAATAAACCATTTTGAGAAAATTCTGCTCCTGAAGTCACAGCAATCTTTTATGACATTAATTATTAGTGTTCTACTTTAAGTTTAAGTAATTTTATCAATAATTCCAATGAACAAGAGAGAATGCGCTTTCGGCTACATAGACCCATGCCGTCTAGGATCTATTCGTTTTCTGTGCACATTACAGAACAATTAACAAATCGCAATTACTTTGAAAACCGTCAAGCGTAGACCCTAATAAGCTTTAATAAAATTGAAAGAGAGTTTAATTTTGCATTCGACGATGTGAAAATGAACATTTGAAAAAAACGAGTTATTGATGTTTGGAATACGTAAAATTTGAACATTACTAATGCAATGATTTAATGTGCTTTGATAGAAATTTTTAGATGGAAAGCCAAATGCGTTTCCTGCTCTTTTCAACGTCAGCCGCATGTATGTATGTATGTATGTCTACTTCCAGTATATCCGGAAGTTTAGCACCCTGTATCCTATGAATTTTTTGACCAGCTCATTAGGGGCATACTTGGAAATAAAAATATGTCTGATTGCCACAAATCTGGAAGTACTGTTTGTCCATCGAATCCAAGGATGTAATCTCAAAGCAAGCCTATATTACAGAAAAAAAAGTCGTTAAAACCTAATCTATAGAATAACAAGGTAAAAGTTAAAAATTTTCTAAAGGAAATTTGGAATTTTAAAAGCAGAATAATAGCATTAAGAAATATTTTACATATTTTGGCTATAAAATGAAAGCAATCTTCGTGGCATGGTCACATCAATATGAAGAATCTAGAATCATCGCCTTAACGTGTTTTCAAAATTTAAAAATTCTAACAAAACCCTAACTATTCAAACTCCAATAAACTAAGAATTTATAAAATTCAGATTGGATGAGTACAGGAAAGATGCCGCAACAGACTCGATATTGATATTACAGCAGCATACATTACACGCCACCCAAGTTTTTCATGATAAAATATAATGACGGAGCGGGTAATTAAAACCAATCAATCACTAAACTGAAACGCATTCCACACAATAAATCAAACGAAAATCGAATAAAGATTAGGGCTAAACACTTACAGGCGTCGTTTCCATTTATAGACAGCAAAAATGGTGGTACATCGTACACCGTCTGCTGGAGGACCGAACACAACTGAATGACAAGGTGAAACGACAGACGAGCCGGAAGACCTATAGATGAAAATTCTTTCTATACTATGATAGATACATAATACATTTTATAGGTGCCTTCAGTTATACTAATGCAATTGAATTCGTAAATTATTAGAAACTGATCCACCTAAATGATATTCTGTTGAAATAATTTAACGTTAGCTTTATATTATGTTTTACTCTCGCGAAAAGTGTGTAAGACACTTTTAAGATCAACTAAAAAGCTAAGCCCAAGGGAAGTCGTTCGGGGAGGCCCTCCCTAATTCCACAAGGGTGAGAAGAAACACACACGATAACGAAACGTTGAATCATGTAGAACTCGTAGGGTAAATAAGCAAATTAGGAAGAATATGCAGTAAGCTAAGCGAAGAGGTAAGCAAGGTTAGACTATACTACAACTACTAAACGTGTTATTTATACTACTACACTACTACTACATACAAAAAAGATAAAAACGTCTACAATCAACAATTACTTCAAATAAAATGAACAAAAATAAGCGTGCAAAATAAAAACTAATTCAAATGAAATAAACTACGAAAACAAAAACATCCAAATAATAAACTAATTTGAATAAAATGAAATAGAATTCTATTACATAGAGCATGCATGATAGAGAACTATTTTAACTAAGGGGACTTTTTTGTCTTCTCCAACGTCGATCTGAAACAGATACGGTGGTAACAGATTAATAAGGAGCAATTCAAATTAATTATATAAAATATTCTCACCTTAATTAACTGTAGATCGTAATGTTCCAAAGTTTGCAGGTGTGAAAAGCAAATGAAATCCAAGAGGAATGACAATGCAGAAAATTTCTTATTTCAGTGGAATTCACATAAATCTTCAGCTGCTCTCACTGATCACTTGAAAAGTAACTGCATAATGTTGGAAGGTGAAGACGAAAACAGCAAAACAAGAATGTAGTCCACCAAACATTGTAGATATTGTTTCAGTACCATCAACCTGAACTTTAATTCTCTTCCATTTGTCAGACGATCTGTAGAGATGGACAAAAAAAGAGTATTAGTTACACAATCAATTCCAAAAAACGATTATTTATGGTATTTTTTACGTTTTTTCGGTTAAAATCCACCCATGTATATGAACTAAAATCGAACTTTTGTTGAAAATTATTGCTTAATTCATCAATAAATCAC